AGGTTTAAAATAAATAAATAATATAATTTAGGGAAATCTTTCTTTTTAATCAATGTGTGCTAGAAAATAAACACCTTTAGGATGAGGACAGGTCCTAATCCAAATTGTATAAAGTTCTACCATGTTACACTGCATATTCACATATTAAGTACTACTTAATTCAACTGACTTGTATTATAATTAACATTTTAAAGAATATGCTAATAAGATCAGATATTACTATAAAATATAGACACTTTGACCACAAATTCATATTTAAAACTTCAGTGGAAAAGCATAAGTGCATGGTAATCTGATTGAATTTATTATGTGGGTAAGGGTAAAGGATATTTGGAAACAGTTTAAAAAGCCTTCATGATGATCTCAGCTGAGGGTGGAGGATGTGTGGAGAGGAACCTGGTATTTGTTCCCTTTCTACTCTTTCTAACCGTGCTTTTCTCTTGCTACTACATGAAATGAATTGCAACCTTGTACTTCCAGGTTAAATGTTAACTCAGGTGGAAGCTCAAGATGCTCTATTTGGTCAGATTTAATACAACCACCTCTTTCAGTCTGATTGAGAGCTATCTGGGAAGGTTTTCACTATGAGTGTACAGCCTTCAGTTTATCTAACTATGCTTTTTAAAGCACCAAAGTAACCACACCACTCATTCTCCACCTTTAAACCCTTCAGACATCTGCCGCTGGCTCACTGCAGTGCTATCCATCCTCTGTACACAGGGTACTCCCTGAACATGCCTCCCTGTGGCCTTCTAACTGCTATTCCTTTATTCCGTCTCAGCTTCTCTCAAAAGCCTTTCCCCAACTGTATCCCACTCTCCTCTCCTGCACGTTCCCATGGCACTAACATGGACCCCACATGCCCAGAGCTCCTCTTATATGCCAAGTGCTGCTGTTCAGTCACAAACCAGACAGACCCAACCCCAGCTTCAAGGTCCATATCATTTAGCTGGGAAGAAAGCCTTAAAGAATAAATCAGAAATAATTAACAAAATCACTAGAAGAGTCCAGAGTGTCTTAAAGGGAACAAAGGGAGGCACAGAACTGTAGAATAGAACTTAACCTAGGGGGATGGTGAAGGAAAGTCCTCCTTAAGTGCGTCAAGTACACTGCCATCATGGTGTAGGCCAAGACAAGGAAAAATACAAAAAATATTCATGGCCCTGGCTGGGTAGCTCAGTTGGTTAGAGTGTCATCCCAACATGCCAAGTTTGAGGGTTCGATCCCCAGCCAGGGCACATACAAGAGTCAACCAATAAAAGTATACTAGTAAATAAGTGGACCAACAAATTTCTCTCTCTCTCTCTCTCTCTCTCTCTCTCCCCCTCCCTCCCTCCCTTCCTATCTCTCACTCTCTCTCTCTCTCTCTCTTTTTCTCATTCCTTCCCCTCCATTCCCCTCTCCCTTCCTCCAAAATCAATTTTAAAAATTCAAAAATCCTAAGCATGAGGACAACATATGCAAAAACACGTCACAGTGGGGGAGAGGGAGAAAGAAAGAATATGGAATATTTTAGCAACAAAGAGAAAGAGTTGTACAAGATGAGGCTGGAGAACACCTTGACCCAGAGCATGCCAGAGGCCTATGGAAGCCAAGAGGCACACCGCTCATTTCCCCCCGAAAGAACTTGATGTTGGGCTGTGAGCAGGACAGTGGGTTGGTTGTGAGCAGGGCAGTTGGCTAAGACTTTTAGGATGCTGCACAACATGCCACCAAGCCCAAACTCCTCCAGGGCAGCCTCCAGTCCGTGGCTAAGCATAGTGGAGCTGGCCCCTTCTCTCCAATGCAGGAGTCCTCTTAGAGGTCCTCCTGCTTCAGTCCTCCCACTGGATTGGCCAAGACTTTGTCAGATTTGTTTAGCAGATCATATACATCTGATTACCGTCTTCGCCAGTTTGAGGCTCTCTCTGGAGTGGTCTTATTCAGTGTGAGATATGCTTATTTGTTTTGAGAGTCTTTGAGTGAATGCTGTACTATTGATACTATCAATTAGACACAACAAATGAAACTCACATAATTGCATTCCCAGCTTTCAACAACTTCGTAGCTCTGGGGAAATTGAAACAGTTGTGAAGATTTTTTCTCTAGGAAATTCAAAAGATCACCTATGTCTGGATGAAGCAAATAACTCTCAATGGGCTGTGTTCAGTTTTCATTAAACAAATATTTAATTATAACAATTTATTGCTGGAAACAGCACAATACATTTGGTATAGTTCAAGCTACAACAGAGATGAGAATATTGGCTCAATTACTTTTGTTGAGTTCCCACAGTGAACAACTTGCCATTTAAGACAGTTAACAAGGCTTTTCTCCAAAGGAAGAAAAGGATCCACTGCCTCGAATTAGTATATATATATATATTTGATAAACTTTTGCAAGGGAGTAAGTTTCCATTAGGGATACCTCTCCAACACCCACCCTGTCTTGCCCACGTGTATCAGCCAGGTAGCCTGATTACGTGAACGTGGATGGATCCCACCCCCTGCTCCAGCCTGAGACAACCAGGATATTTATCCTCCTTTGCCAAAACCAAGAGTGACCTAATGGATGTCTCTGCCTCTTAATTCCCCTGGATGTGAAGGGGTAAACTGCTGCTAGTGGCAGCTACTGGAGACACTCAAGGAAATCAGACTAAAGACAAAGCCTGCACAGAGAAGCCAAGACCTTCAAAGAAGCAGACCTGAGCTGTGTATGAAGGTTTCCCTTTCCTACCTGATCACTGAAGCCAGGGTGAAATGCATCTCCTGTTACTTATACTCTTAAAAGTGTTCTGCGCTGGCTGGTGTGGCTAAGTAGACTGAGCATGGTTCCATTTACCAGCAGGTTGCTGGTTCAATTCCCAGTAAAGGCATATGCCTGAATTTCAGGAACAACCCGCAGTGGGGGACATGCTGAAGGCAGCAGATCAATGTTTCGCTCTCACATCAATGTTTCTCTCTGCCTCTCCCTTCCTCTCTCTATAAAAATCAATAAAGTATTCTTTAAAATAATAGTAAAGTTATTTTTTTTAAAATATATTTTTATTGATTTCAGAGAGGAAAGCAAAGGGAGATCGAGATAGAACCATCAACGATGAGAGAGAATTATTGATTGGCTGCCTCCTGCAACCCTCACTGGGGATTGATCGAGCCCGCAACGGGGGCATGTGCCCTGACCGGGAATCAAACCATGACCTACTGGCTCATAGATCAATGCTCAACCACTGAGCCAAGCCAGCTGGGCTAAAGTTATTTCTTTTTTTAAAAAGTGTTCTAACACCCAAGGGTGCTTTCCTAGTTTTCTTAGTTTAAAATTACACATTTGATCATGCATCTTAGTTTACCTGACAAAAAAATGACAGTCAATTGTTACTGAATGCATGAGGCTCAGTTTCTTGATCCTCACTAAACACAGTCTTAAAATTTTTGCATACCATTTCAACAAGTACCAAAAAATATTGTAAAATATAATAAAATATAAACGTGTATTAGCTAATTAGTGGGATTAACACTTGCTGCTAGGTAAAAGTCATGATTGAATACTTAAATATCCACAAATGAAAAGCAGCAGACTCTTTTCTGATTAAAAAAAGTTGCTATTCAATTTGTTTATGTGAGAGTTTGCAATGATGACCTGTGGGCCAAATCTATGCTACATTTGTTTGCTTTGCTGACAAATATTTAAACACACATAACATATATAAACAAAGAAAACATATAGCTCTGTATGGCAATAAGCAACCAGACGTGAAAAGCAGCTTCTCACTTCAGGCTAAAAATGAGCAGCCAATTTTTTGTTGTTTTTCTTTTAGTTTATCTTTATTGTTGAAAATATTATAGATGTCCCCCTTTTTTCCCCCCACTGATCCCCTCCACCCCACATCCCCCGCCCACCCCTCCTCCCGCCTTTACAGCACTATTGTCTGTCCACGGGTTATGCATATATGCATATAAGTTCTTTGGTTAATCTCTTCCCCTCCTCGTGCCCCGCCCCCTTCCGCCCCCCACACACACATTCCCTGAGATTCATCAGTCTGCTCCATGCTTCCATGTCTCTGGATCTATTTTATTCATCAGTTTATTTTGTTTACTAGATTCCACATATGAGTGAGATCATGTGATACTTATCTTTCTCTGACTAGCTTATTTTGCTTAGCATAATACTCTCCAGGTCCCTCCATACTGTCTCAAAGGGTAAGATATCCTTCTTTTTTACAGCCACATAGTATTCCAGGGTGTAAATGTACCACAGCTTTTTTATCCACTCATCTGCTAGTGGGCACTTTGGCTATTTCCAGATCTTAGCTAGTGTAAATTGCACTGCTATGAACATAGGGGTGCATATATTCTTTCTGATTGGTGTTTTGGGATTCTTTGGCTATATTCCTAGAGGTGGGATCCCTGGGTCAAATGACAGTTCCATATTTAATTTTCTGAGGAAACTCCATACTGTTTTCAATTGTGGCTACACCAGTCTGCATTCCCACTAGCAGTGTGCTGGGGTTTCCTCTTCTCCACATCCTCTCCAGCACTTGTTGTTGATTTATTGATGATAGCCTTTCTGACAGGTGTGAGGTGATACCTCATTTCAGCAGCAAGTTTTGATTACAGTGGGGCCTTGACTTACGAGTGTCCCGACTAACGAGTTTTTTTGAGATACCAGCTATCTCTCAGCCGATTTTTTGCATTGAGTTGACAGAGTAATTTGAGTTAACGAGCTCCTTAATGAGCTCAGTCTCGGAACGAATTAAACTCGTAAGTCAAGGCCCCTCTGTACTTTGTACAAGGTCCCCTTCACCCATTCTGAGACCTCACCACTATGAGGTGATTGATTATGTAACCTCTGATGTAAGAGTACAGATTTATTCCGTATACTGAAAAAACCTGACAGAGAATCCAAAAACCGACACCAAAGTAAATAATGATTTCCTATTTTAGAAAGCATATAAGGTTTTAGATGAGTGAAAACTTTCAATAGAATCTTTCACATCCTTTTAGCACCAAATAGGCATATCATACCTGGAGGTCTTTTTCTTCTATCTTCTTCTGCAGCACTTCAAGGCACTTGGTGAAGTCAGTATGGTCCTGGTCAGGAGTTGAAATGAGCTCACATCCCTATGTGTTAACAGAAGACAAAAAGTGAATAAGTAACGATGTCAACCTTATGAACACCATCAAGAGCTATAAAAGTAATGATAAGGTATAACAGAGACATCCTATTATTTCTGTATTACATCCTGATCATTAGAATCATTGCCCTGTTATCTTCTTTATTTCACATAACAGGACATCTCAGAATAGCAAAATAATGGTCTGATTGTGAAAATCATTTTACCAAGGAAAGGTACAGATTAGATTACATTAATGGTGTTTAAAATTCACTGCAGCAATGAAAGATGAATATAAGAACTCTGCTACAAGACTTATAAAATATATTCACAGGGAAATAAACTTAAGTTAAAACTATTGCTAAGAAACTTTAAATTTCTTTGAGAAGACCTCCTACATTTACTTACATGAATGGAAAAAGTAATATTAATATAATGATATTACATTTTAAGAAAAACGAAGTGAGATGTCCTATAAAACTCCTTTTCTGCACCCACTTTCCTATGTAAAAAGCAGCATGAAGAGCTTTTCCCGTGTGAATATGTTTCCTGGGTTATCTTCTGGACATAATGAAGTGAAGTTATAAGTTCTTTGCCTCTTGTCCAACAGATACCTCACCTAGTAAAAAGCACTGAAATCTTTTTATAAATATAAAGCCACAAGAGTGACAGCTTGTTGACATCATTGAATGTAGATGACTAAAGGAAAGATATTTTTGAAATGACACATTTTCCTCCAATGTCTTATAGGGGGAAAGGTATGTAAAGCCAGAGGGCAATGGGACTTCAGACTCCTTGATTCAGGAATAAAACAATTTGAGGCCTCTGAAAAACAGCTGAGTAAGGGAAAGTTAAATATATCTACTATATGACGGTGCCATTCAAACAGTTTTCAAGGATACAAAACACCTATACTATCTCTTAAATTATTCTAAGGGCCATTCTCAGTAGATTTAAAGGTTCTTCTTTAACTTCAAGGTTTCTTTAAATGTGGCAAGCTCGACCTATGCCTTTTTCATTTATGACTGCCCTACAATGTGGTGACCAATGAAAAAATTACTTTCTCATCATTTAGAAAATTATTAGGCTTTAGGAGATGTATATGTCATCTTTATAAGATCATCAACATGTACTTTCCTGACCCTAAAAGAACACTGAGCCTGGCCGATTTGGCTCAATGGTTGAGTGTCAACCTATGAACCAGGATGTCCCGTTTTGATTCCCGGTCAGGGCACATGCCTGAGTTGTAGGCTTGATGCCCAGAGTGGGGCGTGCAGGAGGCAGCTGATCAATAATTCTCTCTCATCATTTATGTTTCTCTCTCTCCCTCTCCGTTCCTCTCTGAAATCAATAAAAGTATATATTTTTTAAAATAACACTAAAATTACTAAGCAAGGGCATAAACAACTGGACTGGTCTCAGGCTAACACTCCTATAAAGGAAGATATAAGGCGACACCAAAGCACACAGGAATATGATCAGGGCTGAGGGCACTGGATTGTCACCAAAGCAAAAATCGCTTTTCTGCAAGTTCCCTGAGGACAAGAATTATGTTTCATTCATTACTGTTTAACTGCCTGGCACCAGTTTGCTACATAGTAAATATTCAATAAATGTTTAAATATTCTTGAGGGGAAAAAATGTATGCTAGCAAAGGGACAGGAGAGTGTGGCATCTTATTGCTAAATATAGTGTATGCCACAATGGAAAAGTTCTTTTAAGTGCTGACAATAGAAACCATTACTACAGTAAAAGGAAACAAAATTAAAAAAGCAAATAGAAATAGCAAAATAAGAGATGATTAATAGATGGTTGTCTACCTTAAAGTTATCTTCACAGAATCAACAACATTCACAGGAAAACTTATAGCTAAAGAGAACCCCAAAAATAATCTATCTAATGCCACTATAACATTATGGAGACTAAGAAAATAAAAACAAAACAAGAGATTTAAATGGACTTGTTAACCACTGGACAACAAGGTAAGCAGCAGTATTGATGTCACATCTATAAATCCTTTTTTTTTTTTGAATCCTATGAAGTGGGAACAAATTCCTAGAAATCTAATAGAAAAAGGTCATATAACATCTCTAGAGTTGGTTCCACAGGAATGGTATTATAAATAAAACTGCTTGAAATATATGAGCAAGGCTTCAATAACATCTTACTTTATTTCAACAATTTAAGATGGACACACAGAAAAGTTTAAGTCAGGACACAGAGAAGATTACCAGTACTGAACAGTTAGATTATAAACCAAAAACCTCTAGAAACTCTATTTGGGGTATTTATCAGCCACCCACAGCTTCTTGGAATTTCATGAGTTTAAATGATTCTAATCTTTTCACAGGTTGACAAGGAATTCAACAGAAGCAGAAACAGCTCCTAGCCTGGTCGGGTGAGCTTCCAACACCTAGAAAGGAGGCCTATGAAATAAAGTGCCACAATAGGCCTTTGGCTAAATAAGATGTTCTCACTGTTTTCTGGGTCTTATGATAACATATTAAGATCTAATAGAAAAGAAATATAAAGCTAAATTGATAAACTATCAAAACCCTGCAGAGAAGGAAAAAATGTAGAAATGGTTGCTAATAGATATTAAGCAATGCTCAACTATTATACATTAACTAGAGGCCCGGTGCATGAATTCGTACATGGGTGGGGTCCCTCGGGATAGCCTGCAGGGATCGGGCCAAACCCACAGTCTAATGCTGCCTGCTGCTCCTGCTCCTGCTCATCCTGGCCCCACTGCACCTGACGCGGACTCGCGCCCAGTCAGTTCCAATAGGGAGAGGCTTGCAATGCCGCAGCGGTGCTTGCTAGCCGTGAGCCCCGGGTCTGGCGCCCATTCCTAGGGGGTTGGGGGGTGGCCAGGATGTGATCAGCCCTCCAGGCGGGTGGTGGGACTCCCTTGCCAGCTCTGGATCCGGATCTGTACTGCCGACATTCACGCCGGTTGTTGGAAGCCACCTGGCAGCCCCTTTTATATCGTTTCTTCCTTGTGGAGCCTCTAGGGAGGGGAAGCAGCCACCTGCCCAAGGCCAAATTCCAGGACACTGGTGGCACAGGTCCATTGGTGCCTGGCCCCATTCTTTGAAGATTGGACCTGCAGGACTACTGAGGGAGTGAGTGGCTGCCACAAGGCTGGTGGGCTGCCGGGACGGGTCAGTCAGCTGAACGATGCTCCTGCTGTGGGAGCGCACTGACCACTAGGGGGAAGCTCCTACATTGAGTGTCTGTCCCCTGGTGGTCAGTGTGCATCACAGAGACTGGTCATTGGGTCGTTTGGTCGCTTAGGCATATATATATATATATATAGATGAACCTGCGGGTGGCTCAAATCTTGTACTATGCATTTCACAAATATAGTTTTAGTCATCTTAAAGTAGAAATTGAAATAACTCAATTCTACTAATAAGATGCCTTTATGAACACACCATTTTTTTTCAAGCTGGATTATTACTTTTTAATATTATATTTTATTTTGTTTTATACTAGAATTCAAAAGCAAAGACTTGGATTGACATCAGAAATGACAATGGATTGACATCAGAAATTTCTAATTTAATGGCTCTTCTGATTTTGTTCAAACCTGAAAAAATCTTTTGGATAGGAAAAACCACAATGCCCACTCCATCCCCTCCTAACTATACTCACACAAAAGGAAAAGCAAGAAGAACTGAGTAAGTCAAAACAACTAGTGTGTTGAATTAAACATATTCTTCCTGATCAAGTCTCTCTCATTTCATAAATCAAAACCATGCCAAAACCAGTTTGGCTCAGTGGATAGAGCGTCGGCCTGCGGACTGAAAAGTCCCAGATTCGATTCTGGTCAAGGGCATGTACCTGGGTTGCGGGCACATCCCCAGTGGGAGGTGTGCAGGAGGCAGCTGATCGATGTTTCTCTCTCATTGATGTTTCTAACTCTCTATCTCTCTCCCTTCCTCTCTGTAAAAAATCAATAAAATATATTTAAGAAAAAAACAAAACCAGGAAAAGACACACAAATTTAATTATAAATCAATTACCCAAGGCCCAATCAACTACTTTTTAGAGTCTTATTGTGTGCCTTCTGCTTCATTAAATAATACTATATACATAAGAAATAGGATTCTACTAGATACTAATAACACAGCCCAGTGGAAAATAAAACTATCTACACTAATAAAAGAGAAACATGCAAATTGGTGTCACACCGCTACCCTTCCCATTGGCTAATCAGGGCGATATGCAAATTAACTGCCAGCCAAGATGGCGGCCGGCAGCCAGGCAGCTTGAAGCGAACATGAGGCTTGCTTGCTTCAGTGACGGAGGAAGCTAACGTTCCCCGCCTGCCTTGCCGGCCTCTGAGCTTGCAGTTTGAAACATTGTTACAAATATAGAAGCTAAACAAAACCCCAGAAACCTGCTTTCAGCCAGCCGGGATCTCAGAGCTGGAGTTGAAACAGTGTTTCGATTATAGAACCCAAACAAACCAGATACCTGCTTTCAGCAGCCGAGGCCTCAGAGCTGGAGCCAAGCCTCAGAGCTAAAGCTGGCCCAGAATAAAAAAAAAAAAAAGAAAGAAAGGAGCAGTTGGGAGCTTCAGTCACCCGCCAGACTGAAAACAGCCCTCAGCCCCTCACCCAGACAGGCCATGCACCCCAGTGGGGACCCCCACCCTGAAGGGGGTGTGATCAGATGCAAACAGCCATCATCCCCTCACCCAGGCTGGCCAGGCACCCAAGTGAGACCCCCACCCTGATCCAGGACACACTTCAGGGCAAACCAGCCGGCCCCCACCCGTGCACCAGGCCTCTATCCTATATAGTAAAAGGGTAATATGCCTCCCAGCACCGGGATCAGCGGAGCCGCGAGGCCTCCTGGCACTGGGATCAGTGTGACAGGGGGCAGCGCCCAAACCGCCTGATCGCCCTGTGGCTCTGTGTGTGACAGGGGGCGGGGCCACAACCTCCCTATCCGCCCTGCTCTGTTTGTGACAGGCGAAGGCACCCCAACCCCCTGATC